AAGCTACAAAAATGTTAGTGCTGTGGATTTTCTGCACTATTTTTATAACCAGTGAACTAATCTAAAATATTTGTAATGTTTTGTTTTTAACTATATATTCAAATACAAACAGCACACAAACCATAAATACATAGGTTTAATAAATATGTTGCTTAATGTAGTATCACAAATTGAGCACACCCTTGTAACTAGTACCTGGATTAAGACCAAAACATGACTAACACCTCAAACTACACCCCTAGGGTCTGCTCTGGTTACTATCTCTAGCCAAGGGTAACACTACTCTGACTTCAAAAATTAGAGGTAATTTTTATGGGCTCTAAATTGCTAAATATATATGAAACAGTAAAAGAGTTCTATCTCTTAAAAAAAAGAAAAGAATTATATCTTCAAGCCTGGTAATAGTTGATAATTGAGAAGTAAAGTTCTTGGCGGAAGTAGACATTCGAAAGAATATTGTATTTTGTTATATCTGGTAAGCATAGATAGGATATTAGAAAGTTGAAATAAGTCACATTACTCCATTTTATAAAATATGTAATCAGCTGGATGCGCTTGTAATCCTAGCACTTTGGGAGGCCAAAGCGAGCAGATCACAAGGTCAGGAGTTTGAGACCAGCCTGGCCGATATGGTGAAACCAAGTCTTTACTAAAAATACAAAAATTAGCCAGTGTGGTGGTATGCGCCTGTAGTCCCAGCTACTCGGGAGGCCGAGGCAGAAGAATCACTTGATCCTGGGAGTCAGAGGTTGCAGTGAGCCAAGATGGCACCACTGCACTCCAGCCTGGGCGACACAGCGAGACTCCATCTCAAAAAAAAAAAAAAATGTGGAATGATTTTGTGTTGGCTGCTGTAGGTTTATATATTCAACTTTCTTTCTTGTTCAGAGTTTCTAGGGGAAACCAGAAACCACTATTTTTGTACTCCCATATCTCCTTGGTGTTCATTTCATTGTCTTTCTATAAATAAAGGAAGAGTTTGACTCTAATTAGACTGTTTACAAATGGCCCTCATATGAGCAACTCGATCAAATGTTAAACCACTAACAGAGTTGGCCTATATTTTAAAGGCCATCAAGACATATATTACTCCTGTTCATGATTGTGTACTCAGCTAGCAAGCTGTGTTTGTTGAGTAACAACTTGATATAGAGCATTCTTCCAAGTATATTAAAGGGTATTAAAAGGAGTACAAGATATGGACCTTGTCCCCTAGTGAGTTGTTTGTGTGAACTGTGGAGCCAGACTGCTTGATTCAAGTTCCAAATTCATTGCTCCCTAGCTATGTGATTTTGGACAAGATATTTACCTTTTTGTGTTCCATTTTCCTCATCTGAAAAAAGAATTAAGGATATGTCATAAAGTTGTGGGGTATATTAAATGATACTAATACACATGAAGCATTTTGAACTGTTCCCCACACATAGGAAGCATTCATTAGGTTTTAGCTGCTGTGATAATTACTATAACAGGACCAAGGTAGTATGTAATAAATTCCATAGTCAATGATAAAAACAAATCTAAGCCACTAGGCAAGGTGGCTCACACCTGTAATCCCAACACTTTGGGAGGCCGAGGTGGGTGGATCACCTGAGGTCAGAAGTTTGAGACCAGCCTGGCCAACATGGTAAAAACATGTCTCTACTAAAAATATGAAGAATTAGCCGGGCAAGGTGGTGGGCAACTGTAATCCTAGCTACTCGGGAGGCTGAGGCAGGAGAATCTCTGCAACCCTGGAGGCAGAAGTGACAGTGAGCCGAGATCGCGCCATTGTACTCTAGCAGGGGCAACAATGGCGAAATTCCATCTAAAAACAAACAAACAAATCTAAGCATCTCAGGTCCCTACTTGATATTGGCTCCCTATTCCATATACCATCCTGTCTCTCTGTTATCAGAGTCCCCAGCCATCATGAACCAATTTATAGTCCCAGCACTTTGGGAGGCCAAGGTAGGCAGATCCCTTGAAGTCCAGGAGACCAGCTTGGATGACATGGTGAAACCCTTTCTTTGCAAAAGATACAGAAATTAGCTGGGTGTAGTGATCTCAGCTGCTCAGGAGGCTGAGGTGGGAGAATCACTTGAACCCAGGAGGTGGTGGTTGTAGTGAGCAGAGATCATGCCACTGCACTCCAGCCTCTGTGCCACAGTGAGACCCCATCTCAAAAAAGCAAACCAACAAACAAAACTCCCAGGTAGGTCTTTCATAACTCTTCCTCTCTCTCCGATTCAACATGCTCCCCTCCACCCCTATGCCTGTCTAGATCTATTAACCTCATCTGTATTACTTGAATGTTTAGTGGTTGAAGACCTGTGTGAACAACATTCTCATTTATCCTCTAGGGGTGTTAATGTCCAGTGAATCATTTGTACCTTAGTATTGCAGTCAGATCTGTCTTCATTGGATATATGGTCAGAAGTCAGATATAATGGGAAAAAAATTATTGATTGAGAGAGAAATAAATAATTTAAAAATGTGGGGTATTTCCTTTCTCAGTAGAGATTTTTCTTTGGGGTGTCAGGCAGTGTAACATCATTGATGATGGGAAAAAAGGACAAAGGGACAAGTCATGGGATATCAAAATTTATTTCATCTCTTTTTAAGTATTAATCCATGTAATTATGGATGAAGCAAATTTGGGGGAGGGGTCAAGCTAGGAGGCTACCTACAATTTATTATACTTTTTGTAAGAAGAGGAATTCTGGGTTCCAAATAATAAACAGTATAAAAGTCCCCTAAATTGTTTTTAGAATGCATCTGCTCTTGTAAATGATATAAACAGAAATAGCAGTGTAAGTTCAGAAGAGATTTTTTTCGGCTGGGCATGGTGGTTCACCCCTATAATCCCAGCACTTTGGAAGGCCAAGGTGGGGGGAATCACTTGAGGTCAGGAATTCGAGACTAGCCTGGCCAACATGACGAAACCCCATCTCTACTAAAAATACAAAAATTAGCCAGGCGTGGTGGCAGGCACCTGTAATTCCAGCTATTCAGGAGGCTGAGGCAGGAGAATCACTTGGACCTGGGAGGTAGAGGTTGCAGTGAGCCGAGAGATCATGCCACTGCACTCCAGCCTGGGTGACAGAGTGAGGCTACATCTCAAAAACAAAAAAAAACAAAAAAGAACCAGATTTTTTTCATTGAGGATTGTAGTACACGGGGAGTGAAGCAAAAAATAGAGCTTGAGCTGGATAATTCCTTCTAATATTTAAGTAGTGGGAAAGTGAAGAGGTTAAAGGTGTGGAGTGAGGGCAAGTCTGATTGATGCCTGAGGAAAAGTAGAAAATAGTAGAAGATGAGATTGGCTTAGTCATGTTTCAACTATCCAGCTAAAAAGTCCGAATTATTTTCCTGTGGAAGAAATTGGTGTTTTGTTGTTGTTGTTTTTTTTTTTTTTTTTTTTGAGACAGAGTTCCACTCTGTCACCCAGGCTGGAGCGTAGTAGCACGATCTTGGCTAACTACAATTTCCATCTCCCAGGTTCAAGCAATTCTCCTGCCTCAGCCTCCCCAGTAGTTGGGACGATAGGCGCTTCCCATCACACCTGGCTAATTTTTGTATTTTTAGTAGAGACAGCATTTTACCATGTTGTCCAGGCTGGTCTCAAACTCCACTCCTGACCTCAGGTGATCCGCCCACCTCAGCCTCCCAAAGTGCTGCAATTACAAGCATGAGCCACCGCACCTGGCCAGAAATCATTTTATTTAATGCTTACTATCTTACACTGTAAATATAACCCCAAATTATCTTCCTTTTTCAATATAAGCTACTTTTGTGACATTTCATGCTTTTACTTATTTATTTACTTATTTGAGACAGAGTCTTGCTCTGTCGCCCAGGCTGGAGGTCAGTGGCGTGATCTCAGCTCACTGCAACCTCCATCCCCCAGGTTCCAGTGATTCTCCTGTCTCAGCCTCCCGAGTAGCTGGGATTACAGGCATGAGCTATCATGCCCGGCTAATTTTTTTGTAGTTTTAGTAGAGATGGGGTTTTGCCATGTTGACCAGGCTGCTGAAACTCCTGACCTCAAACCATCCTCCTGCCTTGGCCTCCCAAAGTGCTGGATTACAAATGTGAGCCACCACACCTGGCCTGTCACGCTTTTAAAAAATGGATTAAGCTCTAAATCATTTTTAAAAATAGAACCTGAGGTTTCAAATTTGAGAAACTTTCCACTCTGAAAATCATTCTACATGACAGGATCTTTTAGTGATACATGATACCACAGTCTAGCTCTATTAAACATTGTAACAGTACATTCTGTAGGCCTGGAGTTTTGAAGAGGAAGAAAACCTTTAAAGCACTGTATTATTAAGCATGGCCTAAGGGGGACCCAGTGCCTTAATCTCATTTTACTTTTGCAATTCATTTTATAGATGAAAAAGATATTACATTCCCCCATCTGTAATATTGAGTTGAAAGTAAATGGAGACAATAAGAGAAGCTTTACTGAAAATTTTACAGAAACACATTCTGTAAAGTAACAGCTAGTTGTATATAAAATTTCTATACATTTTTCAGGGGAATCTATGAAGAGAGTGTGTGTGTGTATGTATGTTTGGGGGGAATGTGTGTGTCCTAAGAAATTCAGTGACCACTGCATGGTATAGCTTTTAGTTATTTAGAACAAATAATTTTTTTTCTTATCTGGTGGCAAGATAAAAGTACAAATGAAGATTTATAAATTAGTTTTAAAATACTTTGATATAGATAATAGGTTCCAATATAAATCCTCATAAGACTTCTGAAACATCCATTGTGTCTGTTCCAGTGGCTGCCACATCCAGTTAAATTTCTTTTTAATATTGTGATTTAGTTTGTATTTCATAAAGGTTTTTTTTTTAAATACAGTGTTTGTAGTCAAGTTGAACAGTATCTTCATATCAATTAAATAATTCCAAGAATACATAGAAAAGCTTTGTATGAATATATTTTTTTTAATTTCTAAATTCACCATTTTGATACAAATACCCATGGTTTTCTTCTATGTTTACATGCAGCCAGGAGCTATGGGCGGAGACGAGGTAAATTTTTTTTTTAATGAGATCTTTTGCTTGCCAAATTGTGAGTAAATATGAGTGTGTTTATGTGTGTGTGTATTTATACCTGTGTGTGTGTAAACCAATAATTATTATATGGTGTGATGTTCTAGCTTAATTATTTTAGTAAAATAATTTATCATTTTTATTACAATTACTTTTTGTTGTTGGTAATTTGTTCTTTTTTTTTTTTTTTTTTTTTTTTTTTTTTTTTTTTTTTTTATTTTTTTTTTTTTTGTTCTTTTAATTCTAAAAAAGACATGACAAAGACTTTCTACTTAGAAGATTTTTGTTGTATGGCTTATTGTGAATAAAGATGAGGAAATAAAGGCCAAGCATGTGTATTTTTCTGTATTCATTGTGTTTTCATACAACTTAGAAGGCAGAACTTGGGTTTTGAAATGCAATTCTTGATCTTATTAGGTTGGCTGGTGAATTTTTTTCTGCTATGTCCAGAGGCAGATTTACTCCGAAGGTAAATGAAGCCTAAGCTTCAGGGCCTCTTACTTGCTTGGACCCATTCCAAAGTCTCCCTAATTTTTGTGTGTTTTTTTTTTAAGACAGAGTTTCACTCTTGTTACCCACCAGGCCAAAGTGCAATGGTGCTGCCTTGGCTCACCACAGCCTCTGCCTCCTAGGTTCAAGCGATTCTCCTGCCTCTGTCTCCCAAGTAGCAGGGATTATGGGCATGTGCCACCACCCCCGGCTAATTTTGTATTTTTAGTAGAGATGGGGTTTCTCCATGTTGGTCATGCTGATCTCAAACTCCTGACCTCAGGTGATCCACCTGCCCCGGCTTCCCAAAGTGCTGGGATTACAGGCATGAGCCACCGTGCCTGGCTGTGTTCTTTTTCTTGAAGAGGGATCCCAAAATAAGCTTTGGTCCCCATAAAACCTTCATTCTCAAAAAAAAAAAAAAAAAAGGAAAACCTTCATTCTCTCCTGGTCATACCCAAACAAAACAATACAGCTTTCATTTGTGTAATGCTGTATCTGTTCTAAAGCATTTCCCATATCTGTAGTTTTTCAAATAATTTTGTGAAGTAGCTAGGAGAAGCCGGATGTAGTCAAAAGCATATGGGACTTAGGGTCAGACACGTAGGTTGTAATCATTGCCTTATCATTTAGATTTGCTATGCTCATCTGTAAATTATGAGGTAATCAAACCAGTCTTGTCCTACTTCAGAGTATTAATGGAGTTCTAGTTAAAAAAAAAAAAAAAAAAGAAATGAAAACCTATCCATGTAAATTAAAAATATTCCAAAATATAAGTTACTTTCATGCTTATTTGCAGAAGCTGAGGGAAAAGAAGTAATTTACTTGCTGTGTGACCAAGTTAAAGCCAGAGTCAAGATCAGAATCTGTGTCTTTTGGCTCTTTATCTGCTAATGTTTACCATTCATCAGCTGTCTCTGACTTTGTAGTTGAGTTACAAAGAGAAGATAATGATGCTAAACTCATAGTATTTTGTTATTTAAAAAAATTAAAAATATTATCTGCCTATGCTTACCCAACCAATGCTTTCATCATTTATTCCATAGCAAATGTTTGTTGAATGAGTAAATATTGGCAGAACCTAATATGTATGTATGGCGAATCATATAGTCACTTTTGCTTTTCATCATCATCGAATGGAAAAACATTTGTGTAAATGATTATTTTCTATCTGTGGAAACGAATATCATTAAATGTTATTGTCTTATTTTTTAAATTTTAAAAAGTTAAAGCCTGGAAATAATGTTATTAAGAAATATTTTGTACCATATTTTTTTCATGTTGCTAGAAAAATGATCACTGTCAGGAAAGAATAGGAAATGGACTATTTTATATAGAAAATAGATACCATCTGGAGAATAGACAGCAGGGACTCGCTTTTCCTCTTCTCACGTACTAATCAGTCACCAAATCATTTTTTTTTTTTTTTTTTTTTTTTTTTTTTTGTAGTTTTTTTTTTTTTTTTTTTTTTTTTTTTTTTGAGATGGAGGTTCGCTTTTGTTACCTGGGCTGGAGTGCAATGGCACGATCTTGGCTCACCATAACCTCTGCCTCCTGGTTCAGGCAATTCTCCTGCCTCAGCTTCCTGAGTAGCTGGGATCACAGGCATGCGCCACCATGCCCAGCGAATTTTTTGTATTTTTAGTAGAGACCATGTTGACGACGATGGTCTCAATCTCTTGACCTCATGTTCCACCCGCCTCGGCCTCCTAAAGTGCTGGGATTACAGGCGTGAGCCACCGCGCCCGGCGCAGTCACCAAACCTTGTCAAGATTTTCCATCTAGCTTTGTCAGGCCTTGTCCTTCTCATTTCTACTATTTTTATTTCTCCTGTTCCATTTCTATAGCTTCATCTTTCTGAAATACCACTTTGTCTGTGTCACCCCCATTCTCAATTCAGGATCCCCACGATCTGGCCTCTGCCTCTTTCACCAACTCATTATCTTCATTTTTCCCACGTCATCTTTCCCTGACCAGTCTGTTTGCTTTCCCACTCTCTGGCCATATAGGTCACTCTTCCTCTCACCTACTTATCTAAGGTCTATCCTTTTTTTACTAGTTCAAACCTTACCTCTGATTCTGCTGTCTTTCATTCTTGCGGTCTTTTCTGAATGCCCTGATTTTTCAGCTGGGGTAAGTTCTTTCAGTACAGTTGTCTCTAGTACCTAACACTGGACCCTATGTATACTTAGCCCTTATTAAGTGATTATTGATAAGGATTAATTTGAAACAACACCATACATTTATGCAGAGCACAGTTTGACATCTTATTTTTTTAATTATTTTATAAATAATGACATATTAATACTATATATCAAGAATATAAAGTCACCTATAGTTTCTAAGCTTCTGAAAAAAAATACTCTTCCTTTTTTCATGTTACTTTCTCCACATCTATTTGTAAAGTTGACTTTATTATTCTCAGAAGTCACGATCTTAGCATGAGGTGCTTCACTAAATATTTCCTGGAATGGCTTGGTCCCTGCTCTTGTTCTGCAGTTTGATAGTTGTAGGTGAAGAAGAAAATGATGAGGGGGCGGGGAAGGGAAGAAAGAGAGGAAGAAAGAGAGAGAAAGAAGTGCAAAGGCTAGAAGACTGAATGTTGGCTTTCTGAAACTAAAAAAGAACAGACAGAAAATGTTTTGTCCATGCTTTCAGTAAGTCTTTCATTCCCAAAGCTGAAAAAGAAGTCATCTTTCTAAAATGTAATGATTTAACCATATGGGATAAAGCATATCTAGATCTCATATCTAGAACTCTTATTCTCTGAGATGTATTCATTTTAACCAACTCTGCATGGCATACTTCTGATGAACTGGCAGCCTTCCTTATGCTCATTTATTCATGTGATCAGGGATTAAATCAATGCTTGATCCCTTTTCTCTAATTTACATTTAGACTTTCTCAAAAAGCCTAAAAATTAAGTCTGCTGATGTATGTTACCTCCCTCTACCTATGAATAAGAATAGAACTGGAGCTATAAATTATGTTCTTTGTGTTACATAAATATGTTAGTAAATTTTTTTTTCTTTTTTCTTTTCTTTTCTTTTCTTTTTTTTTTTTTTAACAGAGCCTCACTCTGTTGCCCAGGCTGGAGTGCAGTGGCATAATCTTGGCTCACTGCAACCTCCACCTCATGGGTTCAAGTGATTCTCCTGCCTCAGCCTCCCAAGCAGCTGGGACTACAAGCATGCACTGCCATACCTGGCTAATTTTTGTATTTTTAGTAGACATGGGGTTTCACCATGTTGGCTAGGCTGGTCTTGAACTCCTGGTCTCAAGCCATCCACCCATCTCCCAAAGTGCTGGGATTATAGGCATGAGCCACCTTGCCTGGCCACATTGGTAAATTTTCTAGGAACAGAAATAAAGTGAATATAATATATGTGAAAGTTTTGAGTTCTGTTAGCACAAATTTGGCAGTGGACTTTTACATCTCTCCTGATAAGTGTGGAAAAGTTTCCTGCGATAAGTAGCATTTCAGGACCTATTTGGATAATGGAATAGGAATGGGAAGCAAGACTTTCTAGTATGTTTCTCCTTAGAAGAAAGTTTAAAGATGAGATTGCCATGACCAGATGCTTGGAGTACATATCTCTGAGTGTATCCTGTGAGGCCAGCTGGAGAGGAGAAGCTGGCAGTAAGACGGTCTATGCTGCCTGAATGAATGTTTTTGAAACACAGGGTGAAACTCCTGGACACAGTCAGGCTTTAGAAAGAGGGTTTATGATAAAAGTAGTGAAAGCAGGAGATAACTTGAACATCAGCTCAAGGCTTGGATGGGGATATTGAAGGTAGACTGCAAACCAAGTACTTCTAGTAATATTGTTGAAGCAGTTATAATAAGAAATGAGAAGAATTAGATGTGAAAGAATAAGATTTGAAAATAAATATCAATTACATATAGAGTTTAAAAATACCCAATTATATTTCCCATTTATATCCATTTTTATTTTGTTTCAGTAGACAAACCTTGATTTTGTTTGTGGAATAAGACTCACACCAAAGAATCTTGCCATTGTTCTTTGGGAGCATTCTGCCTTTGATAAGCTTTAATATGTGACATCCTAACAACTGCAACCCCTGTTAGAAACTAGTCTATCAGCTAGTATCATTTAAGATTTTTGCCTACACATTTAATATATACTGTGTTTTTCATTTCACATGAGAATGAGTTTTTATGGTCTCCATGAAACCCTTGTCCGTAAGTAGACATATTGGCTATGCCAGTATTTTTGATGTTTAACAGAATTTCCTAGTGATAGAGCAGTAAGGAAAATATGAAAGGTCTTTTTAATAATGCAAATGAGAAAACATAACTAGTCTACCAGGTAGTGTCATTTAAGGTTTTTGCCTACACATTTAATATATACCGTGCTTTTCATTTCACATGAGTATGAGTTTTTATGGTCTCCATGAAACTCTTGTCCATAAGTAGACATGTTGGCTATGCCAGTATTTTTGTTTTTGTTTTTTGAGATGGAGTGTTG